AGCATGAATGGCTAACAACTAGTCTAGACTCTACTTTCAAAGAGATGATGGAAGAGGGCTGTGGTAGATGAACACGGAACTCATGAGTAGGCTGGGAAGGATTATTTGCTTTTATCATGACGTAGTTTAATTGGGTGTCCCTGAGTGTTTACCAGCTTTAAAAAAAAACCTTTCTCATATGAAACAAATGGCAAAACTTCTTGTCAGAGGACATAGAGGAAGCAAAAAGTATAAATGGATTTATGGAGTAGAGGTTCATCGGTGACCATTTAAGATGATGACCCAAATGCAGCATCTGGCTAGAAAATCCCTGAATTTTTTTGTATGTTAAGGAGGAAAATTAGCTCAGCGGGGAAAGACTCTGAATCTTATTACATGAATCTTCAGCATAAACTAGTAAGGCTATTTTATTAACTTATATCAGTGAAACATGTGTGGTCCATCTGTTGTAGTTTTCTTTATCCTAGAAGTAATTTGTTTTAGTTTGATGTATATTGTGGATAATTATGTGATAATTCAGCTCTATGGAAGTTTCAAGTCCACATTTTTTTTCTATTCTGAAATATGTATTGAATGCCTAAGTAAAACTTTGGCCAGCTATTTTACTGCAGGCAGCATTTTTGCTTTTCAAATGTTTAGTTCTTTGTAATCTTTGCAGTATTTTTGTTTCAGTGATATTTAATGGAGATGACCTCCTTGGATTAATTAGGGATTGGATAAAAATCAGTTTTGCTCTGAACTATGAATAGGCTTGGTAAATAAACGCTGAGAAACATCATGTTCTGCCCTTCTTCTCTCACCTGTAGTTGCTGATCTCAGCTACTTCTCCTTCATCTTCCTTCTTCCTCACATACCTGCTCCCTTCATATTCTGGTCATTTTAACCTCTGGTGTTGACCATAAGTTGAAGGACTGAGATACAGCTAGGGTAAGGACTGGAAGAATGGGTTGGAAGCTGATATGGATCACAATGGGGAAAAATTGAGAGCCAGTGTTATCAACAAAATAATTGTTGAATCTTGTCAAAGCTCACTATGTCATGAAGCAGCTAAAACTGGCTGAGTTCACTGTTATAAATTTCCCCGGTAATTCAAACCCTAATATTTTGTAGTAAAACTGGATTTTGGGTCATTCATTTTCCTTGGGGTTCCTTTTGTTCTGTCATGTGCTATTAATTTTGTGTACAGACAATATTGGTTGGGTATCATATTTTGAGTTCTGTCATTCAAATAGAACAGTGAAATGAGATACCTTCTAAAATGCAAAAAAGAAAAAAAATCAAATTGTCTCGGGTTTTGGTTTTGGAGTTTTGTTTTTTTGTTGTATATTTTCTGATGTCTAAGGTGCCGACCAGAAAATGAGAGTCAATTTCTGACTGCCTGGATGTGTAACGAAACTTCCTATCTGAAGTCTAGGTTGTAATTGCCCGTTTTGAGACCTGACCTCCCTCCAATTTGTCTGTGCTTTCCCAGTCCTAGATGAAGAGAGTAGACTAGCCTGACTATTTTTCTGATCATGTTGTGAAAAGGGAAATGTGTTGGAGAGTGCATGACCCAGTTGCTCGGGGAAGTGTTTGAAACAGAGATCATAAAGCACAGTGACGTAAACATGGAGGCTAACATCCATGTTCTTACTAAATCTAAAGGTTTGTGGGCGAGAACTGTATTTCAACATGTGAAGGAGGTAGCTTGAATGTGATGAATGGTGAGGGAGATCTAATACTTCTATGGCTGCCGAGAAGATGCAGATTAAGATAAGACTTATAAGAAGCTTTTTTTTTTTTTTTTTTAAGTGGAAAAATATCAATCTCATACTCATCCAACTTCAGGTCTAAATGTGCTTTTCCTCCCTCCCCACTTCCCCATATGATGAGAACAACTTCAGTAGAAGTTGTTCAGTTTGCAAAAAGAAGAGCAGGGACTCACCTTAAAATGTCTTAAAGGTTGTCAGTAGTCTTTCTGTAAAGCCCTTCAGAAATCATAGAATTGTTTAGGTTGGAAAAGACCTTTAAGATCATCCAGTCCAGCCATTAACCTACACCACCAAGTCCACACTAAACCAATCAAGGGTAGACTAGATTAAATCATGTCCCAAAGTGCCACGTCTACCCGTTTTTTGAAAGCTTCCAGGGATGGGGACTCCACCACCTCTCTGGGCAGCCTGTTCCAATGCTTGACAGCCCTTTCTGTGAAGAAATTTTTCCTAATGTCCAACCTAAACCTCCCCTGGCGCAGCTTGAGCCCATTTCCTCTCGTCCTATCGCTAACTACTTGGGAGAAGAATAGAGAAAAATAGAGCACATTTAACCCTAGTAGCCTAAAAGAAATTACTTTAGCTCTTATTACGTTACTGATATCTATAGCTTTTGTAGATGTACTTTTTTAGCAAGAATGTATTTGTGCATGGCAGAAAGCATTAACATTATACGCAAACTCACTTCCAAAAGATTTGTTTTGATAATTGAAATATGTGGATCTGCCACTAATGGATTTTCTTTTGCAATAGCTGGTACTCAAAATGGCAAGTGTTTGAAGTTTCAACAAGTGCATCTTCTGCTGAAAGTGCTGATCTTTTCACTTTTCTTCCTTTACTACAAATGTCCAGGTGTTCTCGCAAGCATAACTATCCAACATCTAGCAAGACACTACTCGTCCGAGGGATGTTCATTACTTTTGGTATGGAGCAGTGCCGGAGAGATGACTATGACACGGACGCGAGTCTCGAGTACAGTGACGAGGAGACCTACCAGCAGTTCCTGGAGTTCTACGAGGATGTGCTCCCTGAGTTTCAGAATGTAGGGAAGGTTGTTCAATTCAAGGTACGCGTCTGAGTGTAACAGCTTGTTAAATGCGTAACGTATACCACGTAAGTTGTGTTTTACTAGCCTTAACAGGAACTCTGTCCAGCATGCCCTAGCTAAATCCCATGTACATTAGAGAACTATACAGTGTCCTTACAGCAAACTGTGCATCTCTCATGTCACCTGTAAACTTGTCACTGCTGTTACAGAGCATTGTCTTACTCTGGGTGAATCTTCTCACCTGTTCCCCTCAACTGTTATAAAAACTTGTGCTTTCATATTGCAGGTTGTTCATACTGCTCAACGGTCCACTTACCTCACAGTCCCTTCTTTACTTAGCCTGTGATAAGCCCCAGAGGGTCCACTAAGACTGTTAGACAGTATATCTGGGCTATTGTATTTGTGCCTATGGAATGAAATAGTGGGAGTATAAAATGTATTTGGAGTATACACCCAAACAATGTCATTTTAGGACTGGTTGGATAAAATAAAATCAAATGACAATGAACTGAAAAGGTAGTAGATATTTCAGTAGGAGGAATTACAAAAAGGTGAGTTACGTAAATGGTGTTGAGATTTGTCATCCATCCTTAGTTTCTGCGTTTGGTTTGCTGAATGTTCTTTCCTGAATTTTTCCCATTTATATTATGATTTCTTACGGGGGAAAAAGAGGGACCTGTAAATGGAGACCTCAGAGACGAATGATGTGTGTTAACAGTCCCATGTTGCCCCAAAATACGCAGCTCGGATGGTGAAATCTCCTTGTAGCAGAACCTACTGCAGCATCCCTTTCTGCTTGCCATTCCTGAGTGTTTTCCTGCAGTCACCAGGAGGCACGCAGTGCCTTTTCTCCTTTTGTTTTCACCTACTGACAGCTGCCTCAGAACTGAGACTGTATTAGCATTTCAAGCAAGAAGAAAGTAGAAAAAGTGTATTTTCAGTAGTTGTATAATGAGCTTTATAGGGAAGAAACCTTCACTTGTTTGGAGGAGTAACCCCTCCATATTTTGACTCATGGGATATTAGCAAGCTGTGCTCCATCCTGGAAGACGGGATGTAGATTCCCAGTGGAGCGTGGGTTGAAATGCTGTCTTACCATCAAACTCAGATCCTCGACTTTGTATTGTTGTTATATCAGCTGTGCAAAGTTGCACATACTTGGGTCCGTATGACTAATAACAGGGTAAGAGCTTTTAGTGCAGCATTTCTTAGCTTCTGAAGTAATTGTGCAGCTTTAATACGATTCTCCTGGGCATTTTCATTATATTAGAGATGCTTAGAAATTACGTGTTGCCTGCAGGGATCTTAGCTGTGATTGAGTTGAGTCTCTGCTACCATTTAGAATCAGATTGTACACGCCCCAGCTGACTTCCCTTTCCAATGCAGCCTAAGGTTTTATTCTTGCTCTTCTTCCTGGGAAGTTACTCTAGAATCTGGCAGATCCTTACAAAACACGCTTCTTTTCCCACCCAAAAGTGTCCATGGCGAAATCCTTCTTGCTTGTTCTTGTGTTGACGTTGTTTATCTCAAATAGTTTGACTGCTTATTCATTAACGCTTAATTATACAACTGCTTGTTGTTGTGTCTGAAGCCCCTGCCTACCCCAGTGCACAGAGAGGTGTTCTCTGAGGGTCAGTCAGGATTCAGTGACGAAAGGAGCCACTTGCCTCATTTGGTGCGGGTATCTGAAGAGGCATGGGGGTGAAAGAGGCTGGGCTCACAGTTCTGCCCTGGAGAACTGGGTTCTAGCCTGCTTCAGCCTGCTCGTTTCAGAATCCTTTGTAACTAGCCACAAGCTTTTTGGAAGCTAAATTGTGTATTTTTGGGAGCTTTAGATATACTCTGAATGCTAAATTATTATGAAAGAAAGGTGTTTCAGAACTGTACAGTGGAAGCTAGTGACTTCAGCTTTTCTAACTCATCTCACAGGGATGCTGTGAAACAAAATTGCTCTAAAGATTCTGTTACCATAATGAATCCCACATTTCCACATGAGGATACTACTAATTGTTTTCAGAGCAGGATTTGGCTGCTGCATAGTGGGGTTGGCCCAGACAGGCGTGAGCCAATTGAGTAGAAGCTGTCTTGTAGTCTTAAGTGAAGCAGAGGTCCCAATGTTAATCAAAGCATAATGCTGGAAACAGTCAAACATAAGCCAGAAGGGCTTAGGGTTTTGTGGTTTGTTTTTTTTCCTTTTTTTTTTTTTTTTTTCTTCAAAACCTTTTATTTGGCTAAAACTAAGCATTCAGAAGAAAATCACATACAAGTTCATACTGATGAGCTGTCATAAATTGCAATAGCTGCCATCTCAACATGCGTGAGCTGCTGTATAGCATAAACCTTCTGTTGCACTAACTTGATGTTTCCATCTCCTTAGGTCAGTTGCAACTACGAGCCTCACCTGCGAGGAAATGTGTATGTCCAGTATCAGTCGTAAGTATTCGCAATATTGCGAGGTTTTAGAACTGTGAACACTGTTTGTATAATCCAAGTGACTCATTCTCATGCTGTAATGGGAGCTGAAAATTGGTAAGTAACATCTGAAATGACTGTATGATGATAATGGTATGTGTGATTTTTACTTTTTAAAGGGAGAAGGATTGTCAGGCAGCTCTTGCTCTATTCAGTGGACGATGGTATGCAGGCCGACAGCTTCATTGTGAATTTTGTCCTGTGACAAGGTGGAAAACTGCTATATGTGGTGAGTCACATAAACACTTGGAAAAGAGAATGCATTTTATTGAAAGAGTACTTATGGAAGTGCAAAAGAGGGAATTAGCCTGTAGCTTTCAGATCTGCCTAATGTTGGAGTTCATTTCTGTTTGGAAGACAGCTATGCTAACTTGCTTGTGTAGGTCTAGGAAAGAAAGGGAATATTCATACCATGTCATGTCAGTGCCTGAATCATTCTAGTGGATTTACCTGGACTGGAAAAGAAAGTTTGGATCCTAGCTTTGGAAATAATAATCTTAAGATGGAACTACGGAAGTAGTAATTTATCTCTTTAAAAAGCAACAGCAGTTTCTGAACCATCAACAGTTCTTAGCAGTAGCTATCACATTTGACTTATCTATATTTACATTCTTAGATTAAGGTAGTAAAACTATTTATGAAAATCGCTTTAAGCTAAAACCTTCATAGCTGTTAAAAAGTTAATTCCAAGAAAAGTACATCCTGAAAAATAATCTTGCGTGAATTGATAGGTGGCCAGATGCATGTTTTTCTGTTTGAAGAAGCAAAATTCAGTTCAGTAAGTTTCTTTCCAGTAGGTACATAATGAAGAAAGAGGTTTAACAGGTCTGGTTCATAAAAAAAAAGGCAAACCCTAATCTGTTGCAGGCTTATTTGAAAGGCAGAAGTGTCCAAGAGGGAAACACTGCAACTTTCTTCATGTATTCAAAAATCCAAACAATGAGTTTTGGGAGGCCAATAGAGACATACGTATTTCTCCTGAACGGACTAATCAGTTGTCTAAAAACTCTGAAAGGAGAAACAGAACGAGCCATCGTGATGACTATTACAGCCGGTCAAGGAGAAGGGGCAGCCCGAGCCCAGATCATTCTTACCGGAGAAATGGAGAATCTGAGAGAAAAAAGAATCGCCGCAAAAACAAGAGAAGGCGCCGGTCTGGCAGGTCAAGAAGTCGAGAAAGGAGGAGGTCTCGCAGCAGGGGGAGAAAGAGGAGAGGCCGCAGTCGCAGCAGAAGTCATAGTCGAACACGCAGTAGGAGCAGAAGTCGGAGTTCCTCTCGATCCAGGAGTAGGGGTAAAAAGAGATCAAGCAGCAGAGGAAAAAATAGTGAAACTCCCAAAACAAAGTGAGAATTACTTTTAGAAGTTGCTAATTGATCAAACGTAGAGCTGACAAAGAAATCTTTCCAATAGGGCACCAGATATATTTGAGTTTCAAATAAAGTGTTCTTGCACATTAAAATGTTTCTTCCTAATAAAGGAACCTAGTTTATTGTGTGCTAAGCTTCAGAAAATTAAAAGTTTCAGTCCTATATAAGGTGTGAATGTCAAGTACTCTAGCTACTCTGTCCCTCTGAACTGCTGCAACATCTGGATGCATACTGAGTACAAATAGAAAGAGAAGTAAAGCTTATTTGGTATATGCTTATTTCTGTGTTATGTGTGTGTTAAGTGTTTACTGTCCTTGTAAGGAGTTAGTACAGAACAGCCAGTGTGCTGTAAATTCACACCACAGCATACTGCAAGTTGAAGTCTGTGTAAAAGACTGCCATTTATATTTTCCGTCTGTTTATGGGAAAGCTCTTTCTAGAGACAAAGTAAATATAATCATGTTATGAGTTGGAGAAAAGGGATCTAAAAGACATCACTGTTTGATTGTACAATACTTGCCCAGTAGGAGCTTTGTGGTCATAAGTGTTGGATTTTTCTCTCTCCCCTGACAGAGCTGCTGAGCTAATTGCCTGTAGGGATTGCAGGAGACTAAAACCAAGTAGGGAGTACACAGAAAAACAATCAATTCATTCAGTACCTTAATCCTCAAGTAAGAGTGGAGACCATGCACTTGTAATCCTCAAGTGAGGATAGAAAATACTTTGCATACCTCTTGGCTGCATACCATTTGTAGTTGAAAACAACCTGCCTAACCTGTGATGGAGTGGTGGAAAAATGTACATCTGGTAAATGGAGATGCATACATGTAGTTGTGAAGGCTCAAGATGGTTGCAGAGTGGCTAAAGAAACGGAAGGTTTTAGCTCAGTTGGTTAGAGCATGGCGCTAATAATGCCAAGTTCACAGATTCAATCCCTGCTTACTGCAGGGGGGTTGGGCTCGATGATCTCTCAAGGTCCCTTCCAACCCAAAGCATTCTATGATTCTATACCTGAAACAATACTTTAGGTTTTTTGGAGAGGAGGACTTCACTTAAAGCCTTTTTAGGTTTATTTTACAAACAGTTTAAGGAACCCTACTGCCTAGCTTCCCTACGGTCAAGGTGGAGGGTACATAAAGTTATTGGGACAAAATCTTTTTGAAATGACAGCTATATTAGCAAAGTACCTGCAATTAGATAAATCCTTACATACACTTCACTTTTAAAGGAAAGAATTGTGCTGTTAGAGGGACTGTACTTCAAACTGCTCAACTTCAGGTATTTAACTTAGGCACCTAGGTGTCCTTAGAGGCTTGGAGAGAGCGGTTTGTGGCACTGAAGGTGCAGGTGCCCTGAACGGTCTGCAGATACACCTCCCTCTCTTTAGCCTCTCCAAAGAACTTGGGCTCCTGCCTTTAGTGTACAGCTCAGACCACCTAAGTTAGAAGCCTAAAGCAGACATGAAGTGCTCCCAAACTGATACTCATTATAACTTCAACAATACAACATAAAGTCCCGTAGAAAATCTGGGTATCCAAACTTTACGATAGCATTCCTCACAGCAAGAACGTTTTTCCCCAGGATAGTTCAGAGTGAATGAACATTGCTTCTGGATATAATATATATATTTTTGCTTTTCTAAATGCATACTGCACCTAGCATGCCGATTATACATTTTCCTTCTTTCATGTGTAACTGTTGTCCAATATGGAGTAATACAACAAAAGTGCTATATATTGATGTTCAGTTCGAACCCGACTTTCACTATATATTGTCATAACTGTAGGCAGAATTGTAGCTTAGTTAATTTGATTAAATGTTTTAGTTATTAACAGATGTAGGAATTGTAATAGCATAACTTTTGAAATAATAACTTTGTTTGAAAGGTGTATTTCCAAGGATAGACAGCACTAAGTTTTAAATTACATTTGAGAAATTTGTGACCACCAGTTTCTCATAACGTTATCTTTTTCTGACTAGACCTTATAGACAGATTTTTTTTTTCCCCCGAGGTTTCTATTTTTTCATAGATGCTCATTTGTCTAGTTGGGTCACGTGGGCAGAATGTGGCAAACTCTGGCTCAGGTCCCTGGAGCAGAGTTGAACTGGCGTTTTCTGCTTGCTGAGACGCGCCACCAGCGGGCCCGTAACATCTTCCTTTCACTGGTGCTGCCTTGCGTCCCTCGAACCCTGCTGGTCACGGCTGCCGGGTGGAAGAGCTGGCTTATGCCGCCTGCAGTACACTGCACGTCCTGCGTCACACGGCAGGCAGTGGCTGAGCAGTATCTCAGCGAAATCAGTTGCCCAGCTCAACCAGAAGCGGTGGAATGGGTGGTGGGAACCTGTGACCAGTCGGTGAAATGAGCAAAGCAGGCCTCTGTAGGATTAGAAACCAAGTGCCAACTAAGAGCCACGTGAGAATTCCACAGGTAATTAGGCTCCTTGTCCCCATGGTTTTGTAATGGGATCTGGGAAGCGAGCTGCTGTATTTTTTTTTTTAAAAAAAAAGTTCTTAAAAAAAAAAAAAAGACTTGCTCAGAGATGCATGTAAAAATTTAAATATGCTTTATTTCTGCTACTATAATGGCTGAAGCTTCAGCTTTTTTTTCTTGAGGTCTGGACCCAAACTTGCTGGCTGTACCTGCGCAGTGTAGGGACTGGTAGCTGTAATTACCCACTTTCACATGCAGTCTCTTTATTACACAGAAATTGAGTGCTGTAGATCTGACATTTAGTTTGCATTTGTTAGCATGAAACCTGGAATTCAACCAGTTTTCTAACCTCAGAGTTCATATGTTTCAGTATTGTTTCCCTACTTCATAATCTTAAGTAGTGTTATATGCATGGTTTTGTGTTTCCTTATTAGCTGAGTGAGCTATTTATTCTGAAGAGACAAAGAGACTAGAAGTTCTTAAATGTTAAGCTTAATTCTCTTTTTTTCCAAAGGGGAGAAGCCCCAGAAGAACACAGAAAGGATTTAAATTTGCAAGGACTAGCTTGTTCTCGCTGTGTGTTATTCTGCATATTCCACATAAAAGGGCCTTAGAACGTGAACTAATATTGGCCAAGTTCTGTTTTGTTTTTAATGACTGCTTAAAAACAGCAGCTTTCAAAAATCTTTTTTTTCAGTCGTGAATGCTGCAAGGATCACTGAGGTGCTTTAGAGCGATGATGAAAGCAGGCGTTCACAGCGCTGCAAGGAGTTGGTTAGGGCAGCAGCGGGGCCCCTCCTGCCAGACGGGATGGGGAGCAGGCGCTGCTCCTGCCCTTCTCGTGCGGGAGGGAGAATGCAGCCCCGCTGGGCAGCAAGGTCGCGTTTTTCCCGCAGCCGAAGAGGAATAATGGCAGTCTGGTGGGAATGCTGTGAGCACAGGGGTTAGTGTTACTGCCCAGCAGCCTTTAGGCAGCTGGGACCCGGGCTTGCCCCTGGCAGCAGCAGCAGCAGCAGCAGCAGGATGCCCTCGAGTTCTGGCTGGCGGCTGCTTCCACGCCATTGCCCCTTCCTGCCTGCCCAGAGCAGCGAACCCCCATGGCAGGGGCCGAAGGGCCACGTCCCAAGTGCAGGGCTTCTGTGTGCTACAGATGGGGAGCAAGCACATGTGGAAAAGCCTTTCCTCGCCAGCCCTTCCTTCGCTTACAGGGCAGATGGTCTGACATGTGTCCTAAGTAGCTTCCCAGTTTTCTGTCCTTTGATGGTAGCCTGTCTTTCTCAGGTTCAGTTTTGTATTGCCACATCCACTGTATCAGAAATTGCCCTGAAGTTTACCAGTGACATTCATGTGCACTAAACATTTTTTTCAAAAGAAATAGCTTAAAGATGCTATTGCTTCCTGTGTTGGATCAGCACTTCTTGCAAAACGTGAAGTCTATGCTAGTTAATAACTTAAAAGCTTAATTTACTTTCTTACATCATCTAAAGAGTGCAGCTGATTTTGCTTTCTCTGTACATTTGTTGTAATTAAAACAAACCCCTGTTATTCCACATATCCTTCTATTCAACACTGATGTATCGGCTGAATTCAGTAGCTATCTCCGATTTAAAAAAAAACAAACAAAACCAAAGGTAACAGTGACAAGTTACACTTCAGGCAACTGTAAGACAGATCACAAAGCGAGCCATGCAGCTGTAACTCGTGGCACATGGCAACTTAACAGAGGTGGCCACAGGGTGACCATCATCATGGCCTTAACTCAGAAGAACAGCAGACCTTTAGGAAGGGCCTCTTCAAGTTAAAGACACAGATTCAGTGATGAAGTTGAAGGAACTCGAGCCAACAATCACTTGCCTAAACAATCCAGAAATTCTAATTGATTCTTTAGCTCCCCCCCCACCTTCCCCATAAGAAAGGAAATTTAAGAAACACATTTTTATTTCATGTTAGATTGAAGAAATGCCCTGAGATGGTAAGTTTTCCCCATGCTTTTACCGAGAACATCAACCAGTTCAGTTCTTTTAGAAAGCTGAAGAACAGATCAGTCTGAGAATTTTTTGGTTGAGACTAGGATTGTGAACATTGCATTGACTTGCTCATAATTCCATTTAAGGAACTGAATATTGAGTTTGTATTATCCAGAACCCTCAGTCAACACGTGGTTTCTTTTAACGTTCAAATGAAGTGGCACTACTGCATCAATTTAACATCCACTTTAATAAATTTCATGTTTAATGTGGTAAGCCTTCCAAAAACTTGCTAATTTATTGCTTTCTGTACAATTTAAATGGATGTAAATAACTAATCTTGGACACAGTACTCACATTTTTTAATAAAGTGCTCAAGAACAGGTTAAGCACTGTAATAAAATTTCCCTTTTTTTAAGCTAGCACTGAGTAGCCTCTTCTTTCCTCTGCAAAACACAGAACTAATTACATATAAACACAAAGCAATGGTGTAAAAATGAACATTTATTACAACTAAACCAATGTGACAGACAGAGGTCAAACAGTTTATTTGTCACAATCACAACAAAGCTTAATCCAGCCAAGCACATACAAGTGACCATGTAAACTTTAAAAACGTGTTTAATACATAGAAAATTGCTTCGGGTTTGACTTAAGGTAATTTTACCCCTTCAGTCGCACACACGGGCTCATTCTGCTACCACCTGTATACCTCATCTACCCCTGCACGTTGCGCACCGGGGAAATGCACCCCGCTGCTTTTGCAAGCCCTAGGTTAAAAATGGTCTCTAGCAATTGGATGTGTTCAAATCCCAGAAAGAGCGTAAGTAGACAAATTGTAAGGCTGGGAGTTCCCAGGCTCCACCCTGG